GGCCAATGTACAGCAGCCTCCCTGCGTCCTAGAGAGAAGGGATTTGGAGGAGAGGGGATGCGTGTTTGGTTCTGATTTAATATGGTTTGCGAATCCCATTGTGGTTGATTGCCTAGCATTACTGTTAGCCCTCAACTTATAACAGGGGTGTCAAACTCAAAGCCCGCGGGCCAGAGTCGGCCCATGGGGTGCTTAGATCTGGCCGGTGGGGCTGTCCTGGAAACAGTGAAGGACTGGCCCACGGTGCCTCTGCCAGTGAAAACGGAGCTCTGTTTTCGCTGGCAGGTGGTGGCAGGAAGCCGTCACAATCGAAAATGGAGCGTGGGAGCCTGTTTTAGGTGGCAGAGCCACCACAGGCGCCCACAACACGAGTGATGTTGAACTGGCCACACCCCCGATTGCCCTCCCCCTCCCGAGGTCAATGCAACCCTGATACGGCCTTCAATGAAATCGAGTTTGACACCCCTAACTTATAAAGTCCGTTCAAAGGTACAACCACACTGAGAAAAAAATGACTTATGAGCGTTTTTCATACTAAGGACCATTGCACAGGGGTGAAATTCAGCAGGTTCTAACAGGTTCTGGAGAACCGATAGCAGAAATTTTGAGCAGTTCGGAGAACAGGCAAATACCCCCTCTGGCTGGCCCTAGAGTGGGGTGGGAATGGAGATTTTGCAGTATCCTTCTTCCCTTGCCACACTCACCAAGTAGTTTAAAAAGTTTGAGTTTCACCACTGCCATTGCTACCTACCTATGATCCAAATTCAGATGCTTGGCAACTGGTTCATATTTATGACGGTTGTAGTCCCCTGGGGGGGGGGGGGGTCATGTGATCCCCTTTTCTAGACCAGCAACGTCAAAGGGGAAACCAGATTCATTTAACCATTGTGTTACTAACTCAACAACTGCAGTGATTCACTTACCAACCGTGGCAAGAAAGGTCACAAAACGGGGCAACATTCACTTAACAACTGTCTCGCTTAGAAAGAAATGTCGGGCTCAACTGTGGTGGCTAGTCAAGGTCTTACATTTATGTGTAAATCTGGGCATTATGGCTTGTTCAACAGACCATGATGTAGCAGCTAATCAAATAGTACCCCATCGCCTATTTTATTTTTAAATTCCAAATGCTGTTTATGGAGTTCAAGGGATGCTAATATGCAGCGGTTCCTTCCGACAATGACGATCTTCAGGTTCAGAGCTGGCATGCTATGGCACATGACCAGTTGTGGGAGGAGTGATTTGAGGTAGCACATCTACACTAGTGATCCTCAACCTGTGGTCTGCGGACCCCGGGGGGGGGGCATGATGCCATCACAGGGGGCGGGGGGAGTGCAAAGACTTGAAGAAATGTTATGTTTTAAATCTTAAGTCTCGAGGGGTTCGTGGCCAGAAAAGGTGAAGAATACATGAGAGTCACCGTCCCAAAAGTGGTTTTTTTTTCAAGAGGCAACTGGACTTCCTGGATTTTCTTTTGAAGACGTTTTGCTTCTCCTCCACGAAGCTTCTTCAGCTCTGACTGGATGGTGGGGAAACGAGGTGAAGAATGAGTCAGAGCTGAAGCAGCTTCTTGGAGGAGAAGCGAAACGCCCTCAAAGAAAAACAAAGAGAGTCCAGTTGCTCTCTTGAAAAAAAGGTCCTGTGGGACAACCATGACTTGGGAGGACTGAGAATCTCCATAGACATTGAGAATCGCTGATCTACAGTTCAGTTCTTGTAGGACATCCTGAGGTTGGTCATTTCAAGAGCCGAGGACTTTGGGATGACCCGGCAGGACCACTTTTACCTTGGAAGGAGCATCTCCAAACTGAAGGCAGAGAGCGCACTGCCTCTTATCCTCAGGGTCCGCCAACAGCTGCTGCGGAGGGACATGCTCTGGATCTTTCCCAGCTGCAAGGAGAAAGAAAGAAAAACATTGGCTTTTGATCTCTGGTCCCTAAAAGGTAAAGGTTCTCCCTCCGCACATGCGTGCTAGTCATTCCTGACTCTAGGGGGCGGTGTCCATCTCCGTTTCAAAGCCAAAGAGCCAGCGCTCTCCGTGGTCATATGGCCGGCATGACTAAACGTAGACGGTGCACGGGACGCTGTTCCCTTCCCACCAAAGGTGGTTCCTATTTTTCTACTTGCATTTTTACATGCGTTCGAACTGCTAGGTTGGCAGAAGCTGGGGCAAGTCACGGGAGCTCACTCCATTACGCGGACCACTGAACTGCCGACGTTTCTTGTCTAAGACAAGCTCAGTGTCTTAGCCACTGAGCCACTCCATTTCCTTTATCTCCATTCCTTACAATTGCTCTAACATTTCCTCAGAGCACAGGAGATCCTCAAAGAGGAGACAGCATATTTATGCCACAGAAAGAACGCCAGAATATCTCCTGGTAAAATCAGAAAGGCCAGCCTTCTGCCCTTCTAATATGCCAGATGGTAACTCTCACACTCTTCACAGATTAACTCTGTCAGTAACTCTGTAATTCTGCAGTAACTCTGCACAGTGGCAGATAGGACAGTGCTCTAGAGGGTTAACATCATTGCCCAGAGGATCATTGGTTGCCCTCTCCCCTCTTTGGAAGAGCTTTATAGCTTCCGCTGCCTTAAAAAAGTTTAAAACATTCTTAAAGATCCATCTCATCCTGGGCGCCTTTTTTTTAACTATTACCATTTGGCAGACGGTACAGGGCAATAGAAACAAGGAGAAATAGGCTGAAAAACAGCTTCTATCCCAGAGCAGTTAACTATATTGAATTCTTCTGTATAGTGCAATATTAATGCGATATCAGAGATTTCCAATTCAATTGTATAGAATGTGAAGGATGTGTGTTTGTGTTTTTATTTTTATAGTTATAATGTACACTGAAGATGGCACTTAATTTTGTTGTACAAGGTGCAACGGCAATAAAGTACAACTATTACTATTACTTCTGATTGGTTGTGCTGGGTGGAAAGATGGAGTTTGTAATCCAGCTTATCTGCTGGTTGGCCTGATGATGACCAAATGGAGCAGTTCCAGGGTGGAAGTGATTGCTCGATTGATGGCAGACTCCCCCACCCCATCACCACCCCTTGTGCAGCACTCTCCAACCAACCGTCTTTTGGGTTATCATCTTGATGTATCCTCATTGCATCCTTTTTCATTACTTATTTCATGGTTATTTCACTTATTTCAGAGAGCCGAGGTGGCGCAGTGGTTAAATGCAGCACTGCAGGCTACTTCAGCTGACTGCAGTTCTGCAGTTCGGCTGTTCAAATCTCACCG